CCTTGTGTTGTATTGGAAGCGAATGTCAGAGACGACGACGAAAATAGCACTTACTTGGTGCGTTGCCTCGTTACCTGCCTGAGACATTTAAGTGAATAGGTATCGTTTACCGAGAACAATACCATAATATTCTACTGCTAATGAAAGAAATAGGCAGCCATTAAAGACAAAGAATATAAATTGAACTCCTTTCAAACGATTATTTTACTAACTATTATGGCTTGTAATAACGTTGAAATAATAAAAAAATCTTTAATGTTTGTCTTACAAGGCACATGGCATGCTCGTCATATGAAATGGGGAAATCAATAGAACACACTACCTATAAATGAAGACGGCCTAGGAATCGGTAACAAAGAGCGATGAAAAGATCTTAGACCTAAGATGATGAGACTGGTCCCTAGTTATTACAAATATTCTACCCAGCTTTAATAAAATACATAGTGAATTAACTTTATTCACTTCCACGGAACTCATCACAGACGAATTAAATACGGATAGTCTGTCCATTATCCTCAAACCTTAATCAATTATTCTCCTAACATAAAAAGAGACCAGCTCAGCTTTGACAGAAATTAATTACAAGCTTAAGTTGGCTTCAAAAATATTAATTTGCGAGATACGAAAGTATTCCTCCGAGATCCGAATTTGGCTAAAGCCATATAAAATTGGCCGCCCACGGGTAAAGTTTATCTAGGAACAAATTAATGTTTTCATCATACAAAACCGAGAGAATATTTGAATTCGTTTCGTATTGTATTTATATGTTTAACGGTATAATGTCGAAGTGTTTACGTTAATGTCAAGGGTTTTGGTAGCTAATCTAGTAAGAAAAAGTACAGTGAGACCGTCAGGAAATCGAGGCGGCCGCTTTCCGTCGAGACGTTGACCACTTTTACTTTCGCCCCCGTACATTCACCTGGGCCAAGAGCCGCGGTCAAAGACGCCCTACATAACGTCCGACCAGTGTGTACATTGTACAGTATCTTTAATAGACAAACACTGGGCTAATCGATAACACGAAATCAGGAAGTACAGGCATAACAAAAAGTCGTTTCGAAATGGTTTTAGTTAATTATTCCCGATATAAATAGCAACGTATTAGTTAGGTCATTAAGCAACTGTATAAATGGCGCATTTAGTTACCTAATTACGAATTTATATCTTCTGTTGAATACAAATGATACCCAACAGTAGATAGTCCCTAAATGTCAATATACTGATCATTATTCTATTTAACATTGTACAATAAATGCTAGAGATCATTGTAACAAATGCCATAAAACTAGTTTTATTGTAAATCAAGCTACACAGGAAATATTATAATGATCACGATTTTTCTTCTCAAGGAGGAAGTCAATGTGAGATACACAGATTATGAATAGTTAACACTGTAAGTCACAGAACAAAAAGAAAATATACACAGACCCAAAATAACCAACAAAAGAGTTACTTAAATAAATAAGCCCAAAGGAATAATTAATAACTAAACTTTTCCTGAGTCAAAACAATACAATAAATTTTTTAATTTGCTCTTTAGAATATTCACACTGGCAACATTACTGAGTTTCCTTTACCTTTAGTAACAGGTGTTCAACTTAGCAGAACATACCTTATGTGTGAACAAAACAAGTGGTTCATGGAATGCAAGTAAAAAGGAAACAACTCATTATTAATGAGCAAGATCCCAAGGCTATAATGTAATATAATGTTCAAATACATTAACATAAAAATACCTAATTAAGCCATTAAAAATGTATTCTATTATCTATGGCTGTAAAATGTTCATAATTTAAATATTATATTTTTTTGTTTGAGATTATATTCTATTACGATCATGATGATGCAAATTAGTGTTACAGACAAAGGAAAGTTTATATTTTTGTAATAAAAAGTTACAAGATTTATATAAGTTAAGGTAGTTAATGATAAGTTTACTGTTTAGAAGATTTGATTTATCTAGATTTTATCGACAAATCCATTCTTTTTATTATTTTAATGGTTATTAATTAATTAGTATATAAGCAACTGAATTGTTTTGTACTCATACAAATATTATACAAATATTTTAGCATTAGATATTCTTGATAATAGTAATTTAATACCATAGAGAATTTAATACTGGATTGGACATATCAAATAATTTTGTTACATATGTATATTACCTATCTACATTATTATTTTAATGAAACCTAAAACTTGTACTGTTAATCAGAATTCAGATATTTGTATTAATATAAACCTGTTTTCATTTAGAATACCTGATGATAAAATTATAATACCAAAATTAAATAAAGTCTATTTTATATCAACAAGGACAGCTATCAAAAAAAAATTTTTTTCATGTAAAAGTATTTATGAAATTTCATTTTCCTGATACTGAAAAACTTTCAAGTATTATATTTAGTATCTATTCACACACATTTAATCTTTTACAAATTCCCTTATCTGACTGATCATTAAGAATTTGAAATGCATTCCCTGACTAATATAGATAAGATATTAAATATACATTTCAATTACCACAGATAAAATTAAAGGACAGCCATTCTTCTTTTTTATTGGTGTCAAGTTCTAAACAGATCTGATTAACTCGTCGAGTACCGTCATTATAGACACAATTATAGAACAATAGGTTGCGGTCACCGGTGACCGCTTGGTGTTTGACAGTTTAAATTGAATTGTTTTGAGATAAGCGTTGCTACATTTATCTCATTATTAGATATTGCTATAATAATAGATATTTAGATACAGATTTGTAAGTACCTTCATGGGATTCTTAAATACAGTCTGTAGACAAATATCTTGTCTGCAGATTTAACTTTTCAGTACCAATGTACTAAGTCGGTATTTACCTATTTCCTTGAATAATGTTATCAAACTATATTTAGGTACCTAATACATTATTATTCACTCCATCTAGGCTTGCCCACAATGTGCATGCATGGCTATCGCGTGTGAGCCAGCTCATATAAAGATAATAAATTATTGGTAATCTACATTTTATGGACCCTAAAACCGTGATAGTCATTAATTTATTAATGTAAAAGATGAATGTTATTTGGTTTCATTATAGACAGCAACTTTGTTTAGAACAATTTTATTAAGACAAAAGTATGTTCATTGATGCATAATATAGTGTATTAAGGCTAGTTATTGCCTCTAAAATGATTCATAATGCATCTCATTGACCAAAGACCCTTAGAGATAAATAAGATTACTGAAATATTATGATCATGTGATGCTAATAAATTATTTCTTAAGTCAAATACAAATATGATATAAATATGATTAAAAACGTGTAAATAGTCTAGTACTTTCTGAATTCTAAAGAGAAAGATTAATAATATTCACTACATAATTTAAATTACTATAGATTACAGTTTATCAGAAGATTGCAGTATCACAATGCAGATAATTTAATGTTCGTCGAAAAGGTCGAAAATTGGTGACTAAGAAGAAAAGTAAACAACATGAAATATTGTTGAGTTTCTGTTTACAATCACACTGGAGCAACTAGACAAGAGTAAACTTGGAAATTTTGCACTGTCGTCACTAAGCGAACTGACACAGAATCTATAATACGTTCATATCTTGATAAAAAGTAGAAAACGGGACAATAAAATTTACATACCTGAAATCCAGACTAAGGTTTCTCTGATGGGTTGCAGCTTTGGGGGTTCGGACGTCGCTCCGACTTCCGTGGACGGGTACATCCTCTAACATTCTCACACACGCGATGCAGCGGCACAACACAATAATATACCCATAGCACTACCTCCCCGTAGTAAAATCACAAAGTAAATAACAACATGGCGTCCGCAACCAATACTACAAACGCAGACAGAGAACCCTTGCTCTTGCTCTTTTACCCTCAATTCCCAACAAAACTATCTACTCACAGCCGTTGATGTATCATCAATATTTATTGCAAAGTAGTATGTATGTATTGTAACAATCAAAGTATGTAAACCTTTGATTGCCCTACAAATTCTTCAACACGTAACCCAGCGTATAGTGTGAAGAAAAACAAACAACGAAAAACACTAAAACGATTTTAAATAAAAATCAACGTTAGGCGTAATAAAAGAAACAAATTCTTCAAAATTAAAGAAATCGATGACGCTCCAACCGAGACGACATCCTATTATTTTTCATTTTGTGTTTTTTTTTGTTAGCAGTCACGTAAATGTGTTTAGTAATTGGCAACACATTTCAGTATAGCACAGATAACTAAGAATACTAACAAAATGGACAATTTTCATTAAATAATACTATTTGACTATAAGTGTAAATAAAAAAATTTGGAATACAAGTATACAACATATTTACAGGTTTTACAGGTCATGCAAAATTTTTATACAGCGTGGGTTATAATTATATATTTTTTCACGAGGTAGAACCATGCACCAGCACGAATGAACTGGCTCAATCGAAGTGATATCGGCCGTACAGAAAGCCGGCGTAAAACCAACATAAAATTACGCTTGCGTTGTTTTTTATCGTATGAATGAGATTGCCTAAGGCCTGATCTTAACTTAACGGCTGGCAACGCACTTGTAACTTATTTGTCCTCCTGACGTCATTCGAAGCCTTAATTTGTTGTTGGAAACCTACTGATAATAACGCAATAAGTACATTTGGTTAGTCAATGAGTACCATAACATAACATTACGCCTTGCATCCCCGAAGGGGTAGGCAGCGGTGCACATTACGGCACCTAATGCCATTGTACAATGTTACACCCACTTTTCTCTATTAATGTTATGATTATCAAGTAATAGGGGGTGAGCCATTGCCATATACCGAGCACAATTCCAGACTTCGTGCTACTACTAAGAATTTAAAAAAAAACCAGTAATACCTTGCGCGACCCTGGATCGAACCCGTCTCGGGTTCGAATTTCGATCCCTTGCCCAGCAGTCGCAGATGTAAGGAAGGAAATTAAAAACAAATTGTTTCACTATCAAAATACTTGATTATTGAGTGAAAGCGTTAAATAAATTAATATAAAATCTTAACATAGTGCATTACAAGCTACAAATTAGTAAAAATTAATATAATACAGCATTGCACAGTAAGTTTAATGTGGTTTATGGTTTTGGGGACGATTCTTGAGATTGTCTTGTAGAAGATTGTCTTTTATGGACATTAGGCTTTCTCAGTCTGTGATAATTGGGCATAACTTTGCTTAAAAAGTCTAGTTGTAATAGCTGTGATGGCTGTTTTTCTAGAGCTTCTCGTACATGATGTTCAGATCCCCATATCACAGTGTTGTCTGCTAGAGTTTGAGGTGCTGTCAGACGGCAGGCTGCCCCTGAAAAGATTTATTAGAGTAATACAATAAGTCTCTAAAATCTCAATTTAAAGAAGAATAAACAAACAAGACTTTTTTACTATAAATGCTGACATTGACCCAAGTCCAATAAGAATAACTAGTATTATGTCCGTTACTTTTGTTTACATTAATAAATAATTTGCATTTACCAATAACACATCCACTTCCTATTTTGACATCAACACCCACAAATGACCTGCATTCAAAAACATTGCTCTCTCCTATGTGGCCACATGGGGACTCCAACTTGCAGCCTACTTCAAACACATTATGAGCACCAATGAATAAGGGTTTCGGAGGATTCTCTTGCTTATCGCTTTTTCTGAAAATCAAAAATATTTTATTGATAGTAGTGAGCGATTCATAATCTATGATGAATAATAGGTAATTATTGAATATTGATAAGCCCCTGCTGTTGGACTACAACTTTTATGACAATAGTTTAAGAATATCTAATCCTACAAAATAATTTTCATCTGCTTACTTGTGAATAATAGTGGAATATTCTTCAATGATACAATATTCAGCTATTATTATAGGTCCACCTTCCGCAATGATTGTCACTCTGGGGTGAATAACTGTGCCTCCACCGATTGTAATATCTCCTTCTAGTGTACAATCCTCGCAAACTGTAGCCCCAGGAAGAATTTTAACGCTAAAAAGAAGAAATTACAAAACATTGAACAATTTTGTCTTTTGAACAGACCATTGCGCTTTGTCTACAATAAAATACACTTACTTGTGAGACATCTTATTAGATAAAATAGTATTCTAGAACTTGGAATGGTAATAAAAGTATAAGTAAGTATTTAACTTAAATTATTGAACTATTTTGGAATAATTAAAATTTCATCTTTCGTCACCGATTTGACAGAAATAGCAAGTCGAGTGACATTGACATTAAAAATAGTGTGACGACTCATGAAACTCTATGGTATGATGATACACCATCATGAAGTGTGTCATCAAATCGTTTGCTAATCGCCTAAATAATAGTGAAGTGGTTTCTCTAGTCTTCTTGTCTTGTCTTGTCGGGAAAATAACATCTGTCAATATTTACGGCGGGAAACAAAACTAATAATGACAAAATTGTTGATGTTGGTTGCTTGGTTGGATTTCGTTGCCAAAGTTTATTTACATGTTTTTCTTCCATACGCTGTTTTTGTGCTCGACCGAAATAATTTTATGAAGTTACTTCATTATGGAGATTACATTTCCATTTCCTTTTAAACCCTATGATATTCAAGAAAAGTTTATGAGAGAACTTTATTTTACTTTAGAAGAACAAAAACTTGGAATATTCGAAAGTCCTACTGGAACGGTAAGTTTCATAGCTTACTCATAGCTTAAGAATAGCCTAAATTGTTACGGGTAACTCACAGTGAGTATCAATTTTAAACCAAAATATTAAGGTTAGGTTTCTGTTTATTACACAGATAGTATTGATGAGAATGCTTTAATTTTTAATGCTAACTATATTTTAACTCTTCACCATTTTAGGGTAAATCATTAAGTATTTGCTGTGGAGTTTTAAAGTGGTTGAGGGACAATAATCAGAAAATAGTTGAAGATCTAGAAAAAGAAGTAACTCAGTTGAAGGCAGAAATATCAAATTGTGCAGGTATAGTTTATTTTCTGTTCCTATTCCATCACAACTTGCATGTCTTGCAAAACACTTAAATTAGCTTGACTATTTTATGTGATATTGTACGTAATTTTAAAATAATCCCTTATTATGTATTAAGTAGTAGAACTTCTATAATTTTATTAGTTTACTTGTTCAACTGAACAATCTATGTTTATCTATGTTTAACTTTTTGATACAAAGAATCAAGTAAGAAGAAATTAATGTCTAATCCATCCATTACTAACTGTATTTCAGCATCTGATGACTGGCTGACAGTAGAATATGAAAAAATTAAAAAGAATCAGAATCTCATATCCCTACAACTAAAACTAGATAAAATAAAAAAACAAAAAGAAGTCTTTAATCAGATGAAAGTACGAGTTTCCAAACAGAAGACAAATTCTGCTAACAAAACTATAGAATTTTATTTTAATAAGAAGGATAAAAGTGAGAAAGTAGAAAATGATAAGGAAAATCTTCTAGAAGGAAAAGAGGAGAGTGAAGAAGATAGAGACCTTATTTTAGAAGAGATTGAGGACAAAGAAGATGAAGGTTCTGATGCTGAAGAAGTTATAGAGAATGATAAAGAGCAAATGACAAAAGTAAGATGTTATGGGATTTATCGTCTAGAAATAAGTATTATGTCAATAGACTTTGTATAGGTAATTTGAAATGTTTTTGTGTTTGATGTGTTTTTTTAGGGAATCAATTAACTCGCCATCCTTGCTTGTAGGTAAAATGTTTTTTAACTGCTTGAATGCCCATATACAAGACACAATAGAAAATACATTGTGTCTCGTGTGGATCCATTCTGGCACACAATGGGTTAAGAGATAAACATAAAAATACTGTATATAATAACATTTGAGTATTTGGCCAAAAGTGTCACGATAAATAAAAAAATACACTGCAGTGATATAATAGTAGTGATGAAGTGAGATCATACTAATATTGTTCTTATTAATATCCATCCTAAACGGATGGATATTCAAGTTTATAATTCTGATTATAATATACCTTACAGATATACATAAGCAGTAGAACACACAGCCAACTGTCCCAGTTTATAGGAGAGATTAAAAGAACTGTTTTCAAAAATGACACTAGAGTGGTCACCCTAGCTTCCAGACAACATTACTGCATCAATTCTGAAGTTACTAAACTTAAAAATGTTAATCTTATTAATGAGAGGTAAGATTTTTCATTATTCCATGGAAGTTTCTAGGTTTCTTTTTTATATTTGATGGGCCGATTTTTGACCACTATCTCGCCTGACGGTAAGCGAAGATGTGGTCTACGATGGAGCACATCGTCCCAATAGCAATCTATTCACCCAGGCCTTGAAGACACCCAGGTACACTCCTTAACACTACGCACAAGGAAGCTTGATGCGAAGCGCTTCGTGCGCCAAAAGTAGAAGCTGAGTTATACTGTGGCAGGAATGGGCCCACTCAACCAGGTTGTTAAAACTTACTCCGGCCTCAAAGAAGTACCACCTCCTTCATCTAAATGGAAGTCTATCACTCTATAAAAGGTGTTGCAGACAATCAAACGGATTACCGGGGTGGTTTTTAGTCAGTAAGAATCTGACACTCCCTCCCGCCTCACCCAGGCGGCAGCAGTCATTCGATGATTTCCCCCCTTAATAAAACTCTTTATAAGGCCGACAGGTAACTAGTAATTCTTCTAGTATTGTAGATTGCAGGTGTCCATGGACGGTATTGATCTATTGTTATACCATAATTCGGTTCATCTGCTGATTTGCCCGATATCGAATTCAAAAACAAACTTTTTTACAGATGTCTAGATATGCAGAAATCAAAATCGAAATCAACTTCAGTAGGCGAAGACGGGAAAGTGCTTAAAAAGACCAAAACGAGAGCATGTACCGCCTGTCCTTATTATAATCAGACTAATATAACCCGCTTAAAGGAGAGAATGCTGGTGGACATTATGGATATGGAAGATTTAGTCAAATGTGGCAAAGAGCTGAAGGCATGTCCTTATTATGCTTCTAGAATGGCTATGGAGGATGCTGAGGTAATGTAATATGTAGGTTTATGGACCTTCTTTTTGTTTAGCTGAACTTTATTTTACTCTATAAAAAATAAAGTAACCAAATTGATTACCCTCTTGAGACGGAGTTTAGAGTTTTTCAGAAGGAAGGCTTTCATATTAGAACTGAAACTAAGAAGAAGACCGTATACATACACTTTGCTCAGCTATGCTATGAGTCTCAAGGAAACCAAATGAAATAGTAAAAACTCAGGAATCATATCAGAGATCCCTAGTTGTCAGGTGCACTTCCAACCAATCGACATACATAATTAGCACTCATATATTTCTTCTCAAAATTTTTATTTATTTCTTTAAAGTAGATTTTATGACTATTAATATAAAGTTGTAATTACCTTAATACCTCATTACAGATGGTCCTAATAAGTCACGCAGGAATAGTAAGCTCAGGAGCTCGCTCTGGAATATCATTGAAACTGGATAACAACATACTAATACTGGATGAGGCACATGGGTTGACTGCGGCCTTAGAGAATGCACACTCTGCACCAGTTACAGTGAAACAACTGAACTCAGTGAAGACCTTCTTGCAGTTTTATATCAACAAGTATAGAGCGAGGTTGAGTAGCAAGAATCTGTTGACGCTGAATCAACTTAGTTTTGTCGTGGGGAAACTATTGGGTAAGTCTTGTTTACTAATCATGCAAGTTTTTTTTTTAGGTCGGAGAGTCCTCCAATGTCTTCGGTTAGACGAGAGAGAGTGTCAGACTCTTACTTACTAAAAACCACCCCGTTCCTATTCCTGCACTTCGAGCTGGATCCCCGGTAACCCGCTAGGCCTTCCGCGGCTGGGGCGTGACGAGGTTCGTTCCCTCACGCGCCCCGCCTCCTCCTTAGCTAGCATGACTTCTTCGCTGAAGGAGGAGACGGCATCCCAGTCCCCCTCGCTCCACACCATGGTCTGCAACTATGAGTGTGCGTTACCCAGGCCAGGTGTTGTCAAAAATGGTCATTTGAATATTACAGATAACATAAAATTAAAACCAAAAACGTTACCCCAGCAGAATTTCGAATAACTTCGCAACCGATGAAATAACAAATACAAAATAAGGCGCAACATTTACTTCATCTATACAACTAATTTTATAGCTAGTAACTATTTAAATATACCCATTACAAAGAAAAAGGTCTGGCTGGGGTAACGTTACCCCAGCAGGAAATGTTTTTGTAAAATAATTAAAAGACAGCATCCCTACTCATCCTCTTTAAGTGTACCTTGTAATAAACCGTAATTTCAAACAAACGAAAGTAAAGTATGATACTTTAGTACATTTTGTGGAATAATCGAATTATTTGTTCCGTCTATCCTTGCTTGGCAATAGCGTATTCTACGAAGCTTGAAATCCCAAACCAGTGTTACCCTTACCTACATGTCATTTTCAATTATTTTCAGGTATGATAAAACCGAAAAGTTCAAGCGACAAACAACAACATGAAACTACGATTTACACCCTTGAGGACTTTGTGATAAAGGCTGAAATTGATCACATGAACTTACGACCTTTAGTAGAATTTTGTAGAAACACTAGGTTAGCTCCTAAGTTACATGGCTTCTCTATGAGGTACAGTCAGCAAGCACTTGAGGAAGAGATGAAGAAAAGTACGGTTAGCAAAAAAAGTTCGTTCGAAATGTTTATGAGTAATATTTCTAAGAAGAAAGGTGAAAACGTTGATGTTGAGCCGGAAGTAAAGGAAAATGTTAGTGTTCAAGTTAATGTAAGTAAATGAAGTCGTATAGTTTTTTGTGATAATCATATCCCATTTTATCTAATCTTGTATAGAAATGTAGACTCTTAGTTCCTTCGTGGTACCGCTGACGAAGCATTTTCTTGGACATTCGTAAAAAAATGTTATATCTACTTTATATCGACCACAGATTTGCATAACGTTCCCATCCCTATTACTGAAGTATTAAAGCTTTTTATGCCAGTAACAGTAACGCGTATTGGCTCATATCACTTTTGTAAGTTGGAAGAGTTTTGACATTAATAATATTCGACTGAGCGGTCGAGGGATTGGTGTTGAAGGCAGTTTTCCTGATATTTGATGAAATAAGCATATGGAGTTATGTGACAGACTGTGGCAAAATCAAATTTTTAATAGGGATTCATTACCTACTTTTTAAAAATTATTACTGATTCTAATATATTGTTATCATTGTAAAATCAACCTTACACCTG